ATAAACGAAGTTTTACAATAATGGAACGTACGAAAAGTGACCCGAAAACGGGGCTAACTCGGTAACCCGTGGTCTGATTTTAACGAAACTTGTTTTATTCTGTTTCTATTCTCATTTAATTACAAATATGGCGGTATTGTGCACCGTTTTTGCTATATTTAATTACAGACAAGCAAACAAACAAACAAACAATCTCAGAGTTTTAGTAGTATATAGATAATGTCTGATGACAAATATAATTAATTGTAATTTGTAATGATGCTTCGTCAGCTCGTAAAAAGGCGTTCACACCGTATCAATTTACTCTTTCAAATGAAACAATCTGTGAAAAAAAGAACAATCAAAATATTTCCAAAGCTATGTTATTAAGAATTTTGACTCGGTGTCTTTGTGCTCCAGGGAAATTCTTTTTTTTTTTAATTCAGTTAATTGAAAAAGAAAGTCATGGCACATGTAACACCAATCGGGGCACGGATTCTTTAATTTGTCCCGGTAAGCCTCACTGTAATTATCCTTTGCTGTGTATAGTTTGCTGATTTTGGCAGGTTGGCCGGGGCAGCACCGCTCTTTATACTCTCTTGATGCTCGTGGGCATGAACTGGAACGGCCGAGCGTGCCACTCAGCCAGTGGAACCATACGCATGAGGCGATAAAGTGACACGAGACTTGTTATCACGAAATCACTGTAAACCACGAACTAGTGTGACTTTTTGATCTACATATATTTTTTATGCAAGGCAGCTGCGATGCCTTTGAGCAAGTAATATCGTCTCCTCTTTCTTTTGCTTTCCCAAAATACACTTTCCGCCAGCTGTGTCATAATAAACTGAGTGTTTGAAAAGTTGGAAAAGCGGTAGGTCGCGCTTACATTTGAAGAACGCCGACTTTCGATAGAAAAAACATGTCTTATTGACACGTCTCATGTACGTGACTATGAAATGAGTTTTTTTTTTTGTAGTAACTCACTACATTATTGGATCGATCTTTTAATAGGTTATTATATTAGTCGAATACTTGAATACTTGTTTATTTTTAGTATCTTCCACTTTAGCTCAATAATTTATTCTTTTAAAGTAAAATTATGTTTACTTTTTTATGTAATATATGTATTATTTTTTATGGCAGTTATAAACATACGCATTAATAACTAGTTTTTATTGGTAATTCACGTAAGCTTAAGAAAATAATTGGGATATCATATGTTACTTCGTTTCTAGGAAAACGAATAATATAAAATAAATGCATTTTTGTCAGACGAAAGTCTTGCTTAAGAGTGTTTTTTTTACAAAAATACTGTTAACTTTTGATATTACACCATATGTTTAAAATATTAGGTCAAAATGCATTAATTTATTAACAAGGTACGTAACATGATATTTCGTTTCACTAAATTAATATCAGAGTATTTAGCATATTATAATAAACATTTATTTTATATAGTAATATATTAGCAAAATATAAAGCATTATATTTCATGTAATTTTAACAGTTCAGGTAATAGCAAGGTACTTAACGTGATATTTCTGTTATCATATTTCAAGTGCCAGCTAGGTAATTAACAAGATACAAATTATAATATTTAAGGGAATAACAAGATATGATACTTATATTGAAAATTAATTTTATATAATCATAATTTTGTTGAGTACTTAACATTTGACTTCACTACACCATATGAAATAATAACGATATATATTTCATTTTATTACAATAAGATATTAGTAAAGTTTAAACGTGGTTTTATTTTACTGCAGTAAAATAAATGTTTGTTTAAAAATACCATGCAAGTATTTGAAGTTTATTACAGGAAAATATCGCGTGAAATATATATATGATGTCATAACATAAATTACACCTCAAATAAAAGGATGGAATTAATGAAGAGTAAACTATTCAGTTTAGTGTTTCCCTTCCAGTCGCCTTGGAATGGCTTAGGAAATATTCTGAGCTAAGTTCAAGAGCCGAGTTAACTGGAAATGAGTAGATTTTTTACAGATCGTTGAGGATGTTAAATGACTCGCTCAGTTGTCTTCTTGATATGCATCATTTTTAACGAGTTAATGGCATTCGGTACTCTATCATCGCTAATGCCATAGTTGTCAGAGTATTACTTAGAAATATGGCACATTGTGGAATGAGACTATTAAAAACTGTATGCAACACTTAAAATTGTACAAATGTAATTATATTACAACTAAAAAATTGTTGTAAAACTATGTGTTTCGGCGGAATCCCATTCCTACCATCATTATGAGTGCATTTTCTTTGAGATTTTCAGATTTGTCCCTGTGAGTTTTTAATGTAGTGAATTAAAAAAATTCCTGATAATTTAAAAAAACGCTATAACCTTTAGCTAGACCATAGCCTCTATCAATAGTTATTTGTTTCGAAACCTTTAGTTTAGATTTGTTATTGTTTGTTTGTTTTAGAGGAAAGTCACATTAGTCTATCCGCTGTGTCCATCGCGTGGAATCGAGTCCCGGATTTTAGCGTTATAAGTCAGAAAACTTACCGCTCACTCACCGGGGAACTTTAGCTGAGATAACAAATTCCCCTTTTAAGTATAGATAAATGAATAATAAAATGATATGCAATTTTAAACGTGTACACTGTTTTTTCTTTGTTTTTAGATATAGTCAGAAGTATATTTATAGGTTAATAATGGATATGAATAGCTTAAGGCTCCATGTCATAATTATCAGGCTTTAGATTCTAATATCAACCCTGTAATTATCTGCGTTCATATTAACGAAGGAAGATAGTCTTATCAGAAAAAAGGCTTCCTTATTGAATGAAGTAATGTTCTGCAACATCATTGTATTAGGACAACTAACTACGTATGTGGAGAGGTACAAGGATTCCTATTAATGACCTATAGAACCCCAGTAATTGGTTAACTCCAACATATTTGATGTTTTTATCAGAACTAAAGGCGCTACTAGACCCCTTGGAAGCTTAAATCAGTCAATGTTAATGTCATGAGACACAACTGATCGAAAAAGAAAGCCATATGTCCAAACCTGTGGCAACTTTGAGAGGGCACATATTTTCTGACAAAGAAGATAAACGATAAAATATTTTCAAGAGCAGGTGCGCAAAACCAAAAATGACAATTCCAATGACGAAAGCCAATTCACCCAAACGGCTTCCCCAATCTATATTTGAAGTAATGAAAGGGAAAGAGATCGTCATAGACTTCGATTCTGAACATGTTAAGAATTACGAAATGTAATGATCTTGAAACAAGCTAGAATTAACTTATTTTAAATCGAATTTATTTTAAATTTGCTGGAGTACCCGTCCCCTGGACGGAAGTTATGTCAATTTATGATTAATAAAATATTATCTTAAGACATCAAAAGTTGTTTCCCTTATATGTAATTACAAAAATGCAAAAACGTCCACAGAAACTACAAAAGACAAATTGTGAAACCACAACTTTGCATGTGTCTCCCCATAGACCCAATGAACCTTCATGACAAATTTGGTGAAGGTCCATTTACAGGGGGGGAAGTAGTGGTAAAAAATGCAAAAATTCTCATAAAAGCTACAAAACGCAAAACTGAAAATTTGTTTGTAACTCCCCATGGACCCATTGAACCTCCATACCAAATTTACAGGGGGTGAAGTAGTGTTAAAAAACACAAAAACGCCCATAAAATCGGAAAACACAAAATGAAGAAACTGAGAATTTGTTTGTACCCCCGCATGGATCTAATGAACCTCCATACCAATTTTGTAGAAGATCCATCCACAACCTGCGAATTAGTTACATGGACATACAACAGACAATATAGATACATCTAAAAAGATTTTTTTGTTTTGAATTTCGAGCAAAGCTACACGAGAGCTATCTGCGCTAGGAGACGGGGATTCGAACGTGCGATCCTCGGATTGCCAGTCTAGCGCCCTAACCACCTTGCCATGCCGGACATATAAAAAAAATAAACATATATATTTATTTTCATGACAATTTCAACTAATAAGTATGTAGAAAATGACACAGAAGGAGGCCCGGCATGGCCAGGTGGTTAGGGAGCTCGTCTCGCAATCTGCGGGTCGCGGGTTCGAATCCCAGTCCCACCAAACATGCTCGCCCTTTCAGCCGTGTGGGCGTTATAATGCGACGGTCAATCCCACTATTCGTTGGTAAAAGAGTAGCACAAGAGTTGGCGGTGGGCGGTGATGACTAGTTGC